ATAGCCCGTCGGCTCATCGTTGTCGCATCCGAAGACGTTGGACTGGCAGACAACTCGATGCTGTCCCTTGCGACAGCCACATACTCTGCTTGCGAGAAGATCGGCATGCCAGAATGTCGCATCAACCTCGCCCACGCCGTCACCGCGCTTTCCCTCTCTCCAAAATCGACGCGCGCATACCGGGGGATGAACAACGCCTATGATGCGTTGAGGGAGCCAGGCGTCGCAGCACTGCCTATACCACATCACATACGCAACGCGCCAACCAAGTTGATGAAGGATATGGGTTATGGAGAGGGATACAAATACAACCCACATTACCTAGACGGCAAAGTGAAACAGGAGTACCTACCCGAAGCACTCCGAGGCCGTTCGTTTTTGGAAGACACCGACCTAGGAAGCAAGGTTGACCCAGACCTCGTCGACGACGACGAGTTGATGCCAGAGATTGACTGAGCGCAGCTTTGGATATAATAACGGGCAAGAGCTGACTGCATACTTGGCATTGTTTTGGCGTCTTGCATAGCGAATACGATACCCATTACGCGCTTCACTTCCTACGAATTACACGCCGACAGTGTCAATGCTCGTTGATGAATCAGCAAATCCCGTCTTGCCAAAGCGATAAGCTGATCAAACCACGTTTCGTGTGACTAGGAAGCAGAAGGCGTTTGCTGACACGAGCAGCCATTCGTCACTGCCACCCGATGATATGCGCCCGCCTCATGGCCACAAACACAGTTTCCTTCACTGTTCACTGCATCGTCTACATCCTGCAACACCACTCCCCTCGTAACTACGCCTCGAACCTGAACACAGCGTGCGAAACTAAGCCATCTTTTCAAACTAACCAAACGTCGTGCGCAGCACGCCAACTGGAAATGGATAACATCACCATTGGAGTTATCATCTTCTTCTTCTTCAGCTCATGGTTTGGACATGCCTTGTTACATCGTGTTATCAAGACACCGGCGCAGTATCAGAGACCGAAAGTAGATATGAAAGAGACATAGCATGGAAGGTGGTAAAACAGGAGAACATCATTGGAGTTCGAGCGTGAACGGTAAGAACCTCTATTTACATCCTGAATCACTATCGTATCATACATACTGACAAGCCCCAGGACGACTATGCCAATCAGCGAATAATTCCACAGTCCCTTCAGCCAACCTTCACATCAATACACCTGTCCCTACTTCCTCTTCCTCGCCTTCGCCTTCGCCTTTGTCTTTACGCCACCACCGCTACCTCTCTTCTTCGCAGGCGTCTTCACAATAACCGCTCCAACACCCGCATCCTTGTTGTCCTCCATCTCTTTCGTACACATGGCACAATACCATTCTTTGTTCTTCGGAATAGGCTTGGAGATGCCGATGCAACGACCATGATACCACCCTATCGGACAAGCGTCGTTATCGCAGCCGATCATTAGACTGCCGTCGTCATGGCCGCGACAAGTGCAGTGAAGGGTTTTATCGACTGGTTCTTGGACTGGAGCTTTGCCTTTGCCTTTGGATTTAGCTGGCGTTTTGGGCTTAGCTGGGGGCTTGGGTTGAACTGGAGCCTTTGGTTTAGGCTGAGGCTTGGGCTTGATTTCGACCTTGGCTTGCTCTTCTTTCATATCCTTGGCAGCTTGACTTTCAACTTTGATTCGAGCAGACTGGCGGCGTGTGCCGGGAGCAGCTTCTGGTTCGGAGGTTGTGGAAGCGGGTATGTTTGATGCGACTTGTGGTGTAGCTTGGCGTACGACTGCAGTAATGGCAGGAGCAGTAATCGGCTGAGGAGATGGCGGTGCAGACGACTCCACATTCTCGGGCGCGGGTGGAAGGTCGGCAGGTACCGTCGACTCTACACCGCTCAGCTCAAGATACAACTCTTCTTCCCGTATAAACCTACCCTCTGCATCTCTCCTCCCCTCTTCGATCTTGTACCGTTGAGAAACTTTTCCCTCCTCCCCTGCCATCTCAATACACCGCTCAGACACCTTGAGTCCACTTGAGCTGCCAATGTACGCCGCCGCCGACTTTTTCATGGCATGTTTGGCTTCGCCCAAACTACCAAAAGTAACGATCAAGGAGCGCTCAGTTTCTGCTTTGTCGTCGTAGTTGTCATTGAGATACTCAACACATAGGCCATACTGCACTGGCAAAGCGTCCAGCTCGCTCGCACGAGTCCACTGATTCACGCCGTCCGCGTTTTCACCGGCGGGGAAGACAATGTCCATTTCGTAGCGTAGAACCACATGGTTCTTGCTATCCAGGATCTCGTAGAGACGATTGGTGCTTAGCTCTCTTGTTGCCCCCCATTGGACGTTTGCTTCGATTGCTTGGGTAGCGTGGTCGCGCATGGCTTTCTGCGTCGTCTCGAAGACGGTGGAGGCGCTGAGGAGCTGGTGACTGGCGATCTTCGGATCTTCGAGGAGATCGTGGGAGTACACGGCGTAGTGCTTTGTAGAGTGTAGGGTCTCCTCGGTGGACGGTCTTTGTGAGTCTAGTCGCGGTCTCTTTGGAGACTCTCGAGGAGGAGAGGAGAGGTCGGCTGATGGCCTCCGCTTCAGAAGAGTCGGTATGGTCGGAGGTAGAGTCATGATGGACGGAATGGTGTCGGTCTGGAAGATGGGCGGTCGAGCTGTTGCTGACGACATGGTCGCGCTGGTCAAGCAGCAGCGAGTTGCGGATCAATTAGTCGCAGTATAGTGGAAGATCCCAGGTCAACGGTCAATGTGTCGTAGAGAGCAATCGACCAAGATGGGAGCCTAACGGTGATATCGCGAGTGTCTGTGCTTTTGTTTTTGCTAGTGCGAAGTGTTCCTTTGATAGTGTCGCGGTGAAAGAGGAGAGCAAGCGGCAGGCGGCCATAGCTTATCCCAACTACCCGTCCGCGACGTAGAGACACGGAGACGCGGAGGAGTCGAAGTAGCAAGTGGCGCCACGCAATAATGCGAATTTAGTGTTTAGCATTTTTATCTCTGAATGTAAGCTGCCTTGGGTATCACTAAAATAATTTTCCAAATTTGATGAGTATCCCGCCTGCCCATCTGATCACACATCAGACTGGAACTGATATTGGTACATAATCCATTGGTCGGGGCGTCGGGGTCGGCCAATGGATTGTGTACCAATATCAGTTCCAGTCTGATGTGTGATCAGATCGGTAGGCGGATTTAGTGTAGACTAGCAGAAGAAGACGCCAAACCAATGCACGCTTTGTACTTCCTCAAGCCCTAACTGCCACTTCCGCAGCTTTCACGTGATCTACTGTAGTCCGTCCCAAACCCTCTTTTGCGTAAAAGTCCATAGGGTATAGATTCGTCCTTTCCCTTGCTTCAATTTTCCTCAATGTATCATCTTCCTCCAACCATGGCGCGTCTCTTACACCAAGCGTGACGAGCGCCTCATAAGGACTTAGCAACGGCCTGGGAAACGCGTAGCCCCAGTCAATGCTCAATCTAGGACAAGCGATCTGTACCCAAGCCTCTACATCGGACATCATTGCCAGTTTACCAGGGAAGATCTCGGACATGAGCAGATTTACACATTTGATGCCCTGGTGCGCCAGTTCGTTCTCGATGAGCGTAAGTGTATGTGGATTTCCTTGTCGTCCTAACGAACCGAGGATAACGCCCCATGTGCGAGCTTTCCGAGCTGTGAGAATAGCAGTGCGTCGTAAGTCGTATAATGAATCGTGCTCGTAAGTTTCGTGTGTCAGCCTCCGCGAGTATGGGTCATAGCGGTATGCAGGTATATGTGGATTGGCGATCATAGCGCTCTCGAGGTGGAAGCGTCCGTCGCCGAGATATAGTATCATGTCCGGTACTTCCTCCTCTTTGCCTCGCGCATTAAGTTGGCCTGGCTTGATGGCCATCGACGGTGACGTGCAGCCTAGAATTTCGCCCTTGGATAGAGGCGCGATCTGTGGCACAAACGGGTTGTATCCTTCCTTCCGTAGTATCGGCACGATGCCATGTATTGTAGCGTTGAACTGAATGGTACCAACTAACGCGATGGTCTTTCCGACGGGGAAATTCTCGGTGATGGTGTTGATCAAATGTTGGGTATCGATACTGATGGAGACGAAGATGTACAGCGTCGCGATCTTCGTTACTGCTACCGGTATCAGACAGCTGTGCGCGTAGTGTATGAGCAGGTCGCATCCCAGCGCTCTAGCAGTATAGTCGTCTATGCAACACGCGCCGTATGTGACATCACCCATTATCAGCGTCGAAGTACCGGGACAGAATCGCGTCAGGATATCGGATATCGTCGTCGCGAATAGCAGCAGGCCCTCGGGGAACTGCAGGGCTATCGACTTGGCGCCAGACGTCCGTATGCGGTGTATACATTTGTGGATCTCGAAGCTGTAATTCGGAGGTAGGAGGGCGATGGCGTCGTTGATCTCCTGGTCGTGGAGGATGTCGTCGGGGATGGCGTTCAAGACACGAGCGGTACGTCGAGGCTGGGCAACTTGGATGACAGTTAGCTGCAAGTCTTACTAATCTTTCGTGTATGGGCTCCTCACACCTTGTATGGCGCTGGAATCCTCAATGTTGGCATTGGGATCCGCTTGCTGCTCGCCCGCCTTTTCCGCCGTCTTTCTGCCCACAAAACGTCGCTTCGGCTGTTTCTGCACGGGCACAGCCTCTTCTGGCATGCCCTGCTCGGCGTCGGGCCCCAAATTGGTCGCAGCTCTGTCGTCTTCCATTTTGCGCGTCTATGTCGTGGTTGAGCGCGTCGCGGGGTCGGGTGGAATCATGTGGCGGGGCTCAAGACTTTTTTGGTAGGGCTGAACTTCACTCAGGGTCCACAGCGCTTCCACTTCCACTCCCACCCGCTCCCAGCCACTGATGCGAGAATGCATGCTCATGAACAAGAAAGCTACACACATTACCAGCCAATCAGTATCGAATTTCCAACCACAGCGATGACTGTCGTACATTACTGCTACCCATAGATCTAGCTGCCCTACATCCTCCACTACAACGCCACGCAAATACTGACACTTCAAAGCTTCGCGAAGATCTTGTGCATACGCGCTACGTTATGGCCTCCGTCGCGTCTGGCGACTTCGCCGCCCCCAGGGTCAACCCAGGCGTCTGGCTTGGATACATGCGCGATGATACAAGGAGGCTCGCGCATCGTCACGCACTTGAAGACTTGGATCTTCTTGATGTACATGTTGCCCAGCTGCGCTTTGTGCTGAACCAGCATATATGCGAAGCCTTGCATGTTCGGCGTGCCTGGTCACATGTTAGTCAACGCTTCCTAGCTGTTGGTAAATCGAAGAGCCTCCTGCATCACTACTGGAACGCGCCAGACTTACCCATGATTGCATTCATTTCGTCTGTCCCCCGTTCGAACGTCTGCCCTGGAAAATCTTCTAGATTTTTACCTCGAGTGCGCAGTGCTCTCAGCACCACTGACTGAGTCTCTCGGTTGACAACCAACACAGACACGAAGTAACGCATGTTTCTGACATCGCCATTGTTCTGGTTCATCAAATGTTGCCACTCCAGCCACGCCACGTCTGAGAATTGATTAAGGCGTGGCAGTCCGTCACCGGTAATTGGCGGGTCCTTTCCCTTGCCTATTTCCTTGGGGCTTGTACGGCTCATTGCTATGATGACGCCTTCGTTGATGTTGAGTGAGAAGGTAAAATCAGCACCTGTGGCCCGGTACTGCTTGCCGTCAACATAGTACGTTTGATCATCAATATCCTCATCGAATCCAGGCAAGTTGTGCTGATAGGAGACGACGTGGTTCTCGCCACCTTCGAATCTGTCTGCGTTGGGGTTGAGTCCGAGACTTGCGAGTGCTTCACCGATACCCCATGTCAAATAGAAGTTGAAAAAAGAATCCGCCTCGTCGCTTGGATCAAATTGAAAATACTGCCAGAACCATCTTCCGAGTTGATTACGATTCTGGTACGGTGATGCTGCCGTGGTACGTCCTGGGTTGTACTGGGGTCCGACTTCGCTGTCGTCGTGGCTCATCGCCCACGAGAGCGTGCATCCCTTTCTCCTGCACCTATCCCAGACCTCATCAGTCGCAGGTTCGTTTTGTGGATTCGGAGGAGGCCGATCTGGCAGTCCGGGCGGAGGAGTTCGAGGGGGCGGAGGCGGAGGCCCAGCGGCAGCGACATTCTTGTATGGCGCCTCGAGAATCGTGACATTAGTGGATAGACGCACATCGTTCGAGCAGCTAGATGTCAAGTCAGCTGCGAGACATTTAGTCAAGCAAGACGCTGGTACAAGCACTATCAAAGCCGCCGAGACGGAAATCGGAATGCTTGGGTTATACCTACTCCGGACAGATCTCGCCTGCAACGGCAGCGAAGAAGGCAGCAAGCCTGACGAATTGGCCGATCCGCATACTTTTCAAGTTCGTTGCTGATGAGTGTAAGGTGAGAGAGAGAAACACCCGGGTGGTGCTGGAAACAGAGGCGTACTACTCAAGCGGGATTGAGCTTTTTTTTGTGCGTAGCTCCCGCCTTCACCTTCACTGCGCATGGAGTGAAACGAAAGAAGGCGACAGAGATCCGGGCATTTCCCAGAGGTTGCAACACTGAAAAGTGCGCCCTTGTCGTGTAACGTCTCCCGGTGATCTCGGTTCGCGGGTTGTTCTTTCCTGTTTCGCCAACTGAGCAGTTCGTCATACAGATCCACATACACACGCACCTACCTTCCCCTGGGGCGGCGAGAAGGGCTTTCGATTATCGCTTCGCATTTCCATGAAGAACAGCGACATATACAAAGGCTTGTCCCAACCGAAACGCGAAAACTCTGACATATGTCGTTTTGTCGATCATTAGACTGACATTCCATGTCTGACGATTAACATCTTCCACAGTTGCCGTCCAGCCCTCATGGCTGATAATGCTCAGGAATAAATAAAGGGTATCGTGTAACGCAAAGAACCCCCCCCCCCCATTCGAAGCAAAGAAACAAGCTTGGAACCAGATCAAATGTTCAATTTACCTCCCAACCAGAAACCACCAACCCACAACGCTCCCCAAACTGGCTGAAAGAAAGCTCGAAGCACCGCCGGACCAGGACAAATTCCTGTCAAGCCCCAGCCAATACCAAAAGCTGCAGCTCCGACAACGAATCTTATATCCACATCTTGTAGTGTTTTCGTAGGCAGCGAAAACTTGTCGGCGAACGATGGCGGGCTGGTGAAGCCTTTCATCTGGTTCTCGATCAGGTTGGGCAGGACGCCGAAGAGTATGACCAGAGCGAGTGACGGGTCCCAATGTTGCAAGTTCGGGAAAGAGAAGAAAGCGGCTACCTTTTCGGGGTGCGACATCTGCGAAATGTGAAGACCGAGGGCGAAAAGAAGACCGGAGAAGGACTGCGTCGTAAGGCGTGCAGCAGTATGTGTATCCGCAGGCTGGTGTTTGGCGTCCTTGGCTGATGGTGCAACCGTGACCTGGGCTACGAGTTTGGGTATGGTTCGCGCGGCGAAGATGCTGAATATGGCGAGTACGAGAAGAGATGCGGTTGTCTCGGTTGATGGATACACAGGCGTGTAGCATGGTGCACTGCCGGGGCACATCGGACTCGATAGGCTCGGATTGACGAGGTGATGTGTTATGATCGCCGCGGGAAAGAAGGTAGCAACTGCGATTGCTGAGCGTCCACTCAGTCTGGGGAGTCCACACAGCATGTGTCCGGATGTACACCCATTCGACATCTGGCAGTTCGCGTTAGTGGTGAGAGAGTCTAGTACCAAAGGTCTCTTACCTTTGTTCCCCATCCTATCAGAGCACCAATCGCTAGCGTAAACAGAGCACTCTGTGGACTTGTCTGTACAGCAGGATACTCCGTGATCAACTGCGGTGCTAATGCCTTCAACGGAACATAGCTGGCAGCCATGCCCGTGAAGAAAGCGAGCAGTTCCTTCGTAGGCGCAGAGAAGAGTCGACGCAGATAGCCGCTGAGTCCCAGGATATCGCCATTCTGATAGAGGAGGTTGCTAGTCGCTTGGTGTAGCAGAAAGGCGCCGATGGAAGTCTCGACGGGTGTAAACATCTTCTTGATACCGGTATTCTCGTTTCGTCGGGTCCCGTCCCTTAAAGCATCCCACTCTAGCGAAGGACTCGTCCCGTAAGGTGCATCAGCAGAACGAAAGCAGCAAAAATCAAAGAATACCCCTGCCAGCGAAGGACAAACAAGCCGTTTGTAGACCACCACCTCATTATGAAGGACTAGGTCACTAGACCAGATCTTCCCTCGCTAACGGGCCCATGTGCCAATCGCCGTGTAGACATTTTCCCTAGTCGCCGACCTCACGCTGCAAACGTGGACTTAGCCGAGAATGCAATCATCCCGACGATGGATATATCGTGGAGGCGGACTGGTGGCGCCCCGGCAGCAGATACGCCCTAAATTGACTAGCGTGAGTACTAAGCGTGGCTCGCGCGTGGTAGGCGCGTGGGTCGTCGGCGACGAGAATGCGCCCCAGGGATGGCACATGGGAACTTTACCCGGTTCATGGCTTGCGCGACTGCATGGCGAGGCTTGCGTACCCGCGAACATGATGATGTAGAGTCGACGAGGCGTTTCACGATGTGGGATATCGTATGATTTCTGCGCTGAGGGCAGCGAGTGCGAGTGTCATCGTGCTCGGGGTCTTGGACGGTAGTCGGCGACCGAAACCTCGCACCGTCGGAATTACCACGGCGTTCCTTCATGATGGAATGAATTACTAACGTGGCCCGCTAGGTCAAGCTGTGTGGGTGTCTAGATGGTTTCTAGAAGGACTCCGTGCGACGGACGGATGCGAGTGCCGGGTGGCGGCTACTGGCGCGAACTTCATCGATGGTCCATCATGGCGGCGACCGAATTCGATTTTTTGTCACTTCTTCTCACGAACGATTGTATACATTTGTTGAACAGCTTCACATTGCTGCATATTTCTTGCATACGCGGCCCGCTTATCTCAGATTATTCTCCGTGTCAGATCTGCATGCCGCAGCTACCTCGCCGACCAGAATGCCTGCAGTGGCAGCGATACAATGCTTCTCGAAGATGAGCAAACATGCCAAGTACTCAACGGACACCGACACACCGCAGCGCTGCGCCGAAGTGTGCATATGCTCCGATTGATTGCGTGGTCGGTCTGCAAGCCAGTCGTCGAACGCGCAGCTCAAGATCCTCCTCATTTTTACTCTTCAAACTACTCCTCCAACCACGGCTTCGCCAAGTAAACCCTCAATCCATGTCATCCTACTAGGCCCCCCCCCCCAGTTCGACCGTCGGCAGCCACTCATGTAGCCTCTCCTGAACACATCAATCGCCTGAAGGGTGCATATCCATATATCCTGATGAAGCAGGAGATCAAACTACATAGATCCTGAGTCCTGGCCACCTACTCAAAGCCTCCAGCCCCATCTCACGCAGCCACGCAGCCAGCAACACACCTTTCTGAACTCCCCTCCTTCCCCTCCTCCGCTTCATCTCAAACTCCTTGGTAACCGTAATCCCGACTTTAGCTCTCTCGCCGTATACCTCAGGCCACACATGTATAAACGCGACATGCTCCTCAACACCGACCCACCACTTGTTATTCTCCCTCACGCTGAACACATCGCCAAAAGCAGTCCGCGCGTGTTCGGGGAGGTCGAAGTGCAGCTTCAAGGACGGAGAGCTTTTGTATGCCTTCAGAAAAGGGAGAATGTCGATGTTGGGTGTTGACCACGAGGACTCTCGGACTGTGATGCGTACGTTGCCTAGGGGAAGGATGGGAGGCTGGTCAGGATAAAGGGAGGCGGTGCTAGATACAAGGGCATCGAGCGAGATGGACATTGAGTGGTTTTGTCGATAAGTAGCTTCGTATTCTTCTCGTATTTGATGGCAGGTCTGCGTGAGGCCCATATCGTAGCGTTTTATGGTGTTCCATTCTGGAGGTTCGTATAGAATGTCGTCTTTGTTCTCGTAATACAGCACGATCTGGTGTGCGGGCGTGTGCAGGTAGTTTGGGGTCGAGGAGAATGATGTGGTCTCTGAGTTGACGGGAGCGTCGTGGTTTATACGTTCATTGGCGAGGTCTGAATATATCTTGTTCCGAAGTTCTATGCTTGTTAGTGATGCACTTGATGATGACGGTTAGTGTGTACTTACCACCGGATAGGGATAGAAACCCGAGCCTGGGGCTTTCGACAGTGAGATTTTGGAGAGCTGCGTTGAGTTCCTGAATTGAAGCGAGAGTATCGGACTTTTGTGGATGAGACATGTTATATGGTAAGCAGTTTGCTTGCCTCGATGGGTAGAAGTTTTCAGGGTGGTTTGTAATTAACAAGACCTCCGATTTGAGCTGAAGGTTAGCGATAATTGATCAGCTCTCCACATGCATAAGTCGAGATAGTGGTAGTGGGCATTGCTTTCACTACACCTACTTTAGTTACACTAAGAACAAGGCCTGCGCGTGCCGTCCAATTCACCTTTCAGCATTGGAAAGCTGCACGAACCTCTCGATGGAGGGCACTGTTCCCGTTGAGCCAGATCTTGGTCTTATACAGATCTATCCCCCCCTTGGATGTAAACAAATACGACATGCCCTTATTCACTGTCGAGCTTCGCTGACGTCGCAGAATCTTCCGGAACTATATCGCCAAAGTGATAGAGGAGCGAACTGTACTTGCCACTATTCCTGTTGAGACCAACACGTTTACTCCATGCCATTGCTGCGATGAGATGCTTGGTCTTCTCATAGAAGTTGAGACCCATCCAGCTTTCCGCCCACTCTTTCTTGACCACGATTGTGGTCTTCAGACCTTCGTTCGGACAACTGCTAATGGTGATCTGAGAAATGCAGTTTTTTGCGTAGAAATTCCAGCAGGTGTTGCGATGGGTGTTGAGGAGCGAGTTGAACAAGCTGTTCTGGCGGAAGTCATTGGCGTCCTCGTTGAGAAAGCGTACAATCAAGCGTGGCGCCCGAGCGATGATTTTGACCAATGGAAGTATGTTGACGGAAAGACGTGTTGCTAAAACCCTTGGCCTCAGCAAAATGATATTACCGACCGCATCGTCATAGGTGCCCTGTTGTGGATCGACAAACGTGGAGATATACTGATCGACCTGGTAATATGGAAATGCGATCGTGGTAGTTTTGAGATAGATGGGCAAGAATTCATCGCGGATCTGTCTACAGGTTCGTGTGAGACCTAGGAGCGTACGATCTTGAGCGATATAGTCGATGTTGTTCTTAGTGAGGCTAGGGTGGTGCGAGAGCTTCACCAAGATGCTCTGCTCAGCTGCATACTCGTATATGTAGTTCCGGAGTTCTTTGGATCTGATTAGCAACTGTGAAATCTGGTTCCGAAATCTTAACTCACCCCCAGATAAGTCCAGAAAGCCGATAGCTCGACCTTGACAAGGCGGAACGGGCGTGGGCGCAACAGCTGCGCCAGAGTCACTCTCGGTTTTTTGCATGGTATAAGTGGCTTGTCGTGTAATAATCCCAAGGTAATGGGCTCCTTCAAGTGACTGCGAAGTAGACCGAAGAGATCAGAGAACCGAAGTGAGTGAGAATAGCAAGAGTGGTCTTGGCAAACCACCTGACGCGGAAAGTGGGTCCACAACGAGTGAGGAAAGTGCGTTTGCGTTTGCGCGAGTGAGAAATTGATATGAAAGCTAGGGTTTGTAATTCAGAAGATCCCCACGGCAGGAGCATTGGGGCCTCTAGGACATAGTATTGCACTCATGGTTGGGATGGAACCATGTAAAGCGTACCAGAATCAAGGAAAGCGACCCAACCAAACCGTAGACATTCAATTAATGTGAAAGATCTACGAGACCGGCTCGATTCGATCTTGTACCGTAAATCGTTTGAGACGTTTAGTATCTGCGTTAATACAGCCGTATCGTCGTCCAGATCGTCCTCGACGTATCATTCGTTCAAGATACTCAATATACCTCACCAAAGCCCTTTCTCTCGGCGTCTTGCATCTTGTCAATCTCTGTCTCGCCAATCTTCTTCTCTTCCTCACCGGCTTCCCTATCCTCCTCACTGTTCTCGACAATCATGTTGCCTTTCAACGCTTCCGTGAGGATTGGTTCTCCTTCCTTCTCCTTCGCAAACGCGGCGTCATCGCTGGTGGCATCGCCGTCGCCCAGTCTATCAGTCCTGACGCCGTTACCCATGCCAGATTCTTCTTTCCAACTCTGCTCTGTCTGTTTGCGCTGTAGTTTGCGTTCTTTGGATTGTCTGCGCTGCGTAGAGCTTGCTCGGAGGAACTTGCGGTGTTGTATTTGTTGCATGCCCGGGAAGTAGTCGGAGTCATCAGAGAAGCCCTCGCCTGGTGTCTTGTGAGGTTGTAAGTGGCGGAGGACGGCTGCGGTTCTCGGTTGCGCATGGCTACCTGAGCGTGACATGGACGATGTCGCTTCCCCTTCGTCACTGCTTGTAGCGTCATTGGACGCATCGTTTGGAGACGCTGGCGTTGGAGGCATTTCCGGCATGGTAGCACCCTTAGTACTCTGCTTCCGCGAAAGCTTCGCCGGCGACGGCTCGTTGATAATGGGGGCGTGTTCGGTCTGCTGCGCTGCAACTGGGTGGTCCTCCTGTTCGCTTTCTACAGGCTCCATATGTGAGACTGCCGGCGGGGGCAGCTGTTGCGATTGCCCCATGTACTCCATAGTGTTTTTGCGCATCGGTCGACGGGGGTAGTTGATCTTGTCATGGTCACATCCGTTGACGCATCCTCCCCATCGGCGCGTGGGTATGGTGGGAGACGCAGTGATGCCTCCTTGGCCCAGTCCAGTCAAAGGTGTGGCCCTGCTCGGCGTAGATGAGGTGGCGCTTTTTGTCTCTTCCTTCTCCTTCGCAGCACGACGCTTGAGTTCCGACCATGTTCGTAGCTCGTTCTGGAGAATGTATCGGCCGTTGTTCTCGCTTCGCTTCATAATTATGAATTCGCAGTGGTTAACGTTACGGAGATCCTCGAAGTACTCGACCGACCAGTGGTACCTGGAGCATGTTAGTTCTGGACTGTTGAACTGTTCATTATGCGCCTCACCATTTCATAAGGAAGACACGCGACATCAGCCCGTGTGTGACCAAAACGCACACGCTGGGAAAGTTGTCGTCTTGAAAAGATCTCCACAAGCTCTCGTTGAAGCCACTGACTCGATCGTACGCGTCAGCCGCACTCTCGCCATCAGGTATACGGTAGAAGAAGTGCCCATAGTCGGCCCTCTCCTGCCACATGCGCTCCATCTCGGCCGAACATGGCTGGAAATTGCCAAAGTCCTGTTCGCGTATCCGGGGCTCTTCGAAGACGGTTATCTTGTTGCGGGGAAAGGGCGATGGTGTTGGGTCGTCGGAGGTCAGAGTACGGAGTATGCCTTCGGTCGTCTCGCGCGTGCGACGGTAGGGTGAAGTGAAGAACTGGAGGGTGTCGTCTGGCTTGAGCAGAGACCGTAGCTGTCGTCCTGCCTCTTCTGCCTACAACCACATGAGTTAGTCATGCCGTCTCAAGTCGAATGGGAGTGGGGGCGCACCTGGGTCCAGCCATGCTGGGTCAGTTTCACTCTATGGTCGGGAATGAACTGGTGGATGTCGCGATTCTTATTTCCCTCTGACTGGGCATGGCGGATCAATATGATCATCTGCGAGGGAGTTAGCCATTGGCCTTGGTGGTATTAATAAAGTGGACCTACGCGGGGTTTCCCCATGGTGAAGAGAGTGGGATGTGTGTATGGTGTGGGTTTGGAAGACGATGTAAGTGTAGTGGATATTATGGTGTACAGCCAGGTGTCTTCGAGGCAAGAAGAGAATATGTACAGCTGTGCAGGGAAAGTGCGATCAAGGGCGTTTCATGTGCAGCTGCAAGCCCAACGATAGCGGCGACTTCGCTGGCGCGAGTGGCTCGTTCGGCCGCCCGTAGCGCCCCCGAGGTGTTCGCCGCAAATGCTAGCGCGTCATCCCTCGCGACTGTTTCTTGGCCGTCATTCTTCACCACTTTTTCTGCATTGCGCGACACCACACGTACACGCTGCTACTGCCCACGTTATCTTTCTGAAGTCGCATCACTCCGGGCAACCACAGACGACGTCATAAACAAATTATCGCCCCCCTGCCAGCTTATCATTGGCCAGCGCTTCGCATCTATCTCTGTGGACTCACCACAATGTCTGAACCCATCCCCGAATCGATACCCACCTCCGCCGATCCGCGCTCGCAGCGCCCAACGAAGAAACGCGCGCTTACTCCCCGCTCCGCGCAAGCCTCGGAAGTCGAGGCTCTCTTCGCGAAGCCTGATCGTGACATCTACATCCCAGGCTCCAGCGCACTAGCCAAATCCTCTCTACCCCCAGAAATCGTCGCCAATGTACAAGGTTCCAGTGCCGGTGCGGGAAGTGGCGAGTTCCACGTCTACAAGGCGAGTCGGAGGCGCGAGTATGAGAGGCTGAGGATGATGGACGAGGAGGTGAAGAAGGAGGAAGACGAAAAGGAGTTCGCCAAGCGAAAAGAGGAGCTGGAAAAGAAAGACAGGGAGAAGACGGAGAAGAATCGACTGAAGCGTGAGAAGGCGCGACAGCGGAAAGAGAAAACCAAGAAGGGTGGAAAGGGAGGAACAGGCAGTGAGAGGGATGGGACACCAGTTGCAGAGGATGGCAAGACAAAGAAGAAATTGGCGCCGAACGCCAATGTGCCAAAGACTGGCACCGACGAGGACGCAGATGGCAACAACGAAGGCGGAGAGGTCAAGAATGCGGAAGAGATTGGACTAGTCATCGAAGACGACGACTGAGTGGCGTACACACAGTCCGGAAGAATGGTTGCATGAGTGGAACAATAATCGTTTTAATTCAGCAAAGCTCCATCAAGAGCTGATGGAGACACTCTTCACATTTGGGCCAAAAGGTGCGATGACATGGATTTCTCACAAGCCTGGTGCTAACGCTCAATGCAAAAGTCTCCTTACTATTGTCGCAAGCCGTTACACAACCCTCTATCCTATGCGACCCTCCATAGCAGCCACGCTTTCTTCATATATTGCCCGTCGACTGTCGTCAGAAGCATTTGCATCAAACATCTGCAATCAGGGCTATGTTGCTTGTCAAGGATTAGCGGCACAACAGGAGAATTATGCAGGTGCGGCCCGGCAAAGTTCACGGCTTTTCCCATTCCAACCAACCATAACTGCTGGGCATCGCAGGACCTTGACGGCTTCATCTGTCTGGTTCACTGGCTCATTGCGACCGCATTTCATCTACTCTCGACAAAAT